AATAAATTGCAACTGACTCTAAAAGAACATATAATAATGCATCCTTCCAGAAAATAACTTGTGAGGGAAGGTTGGACACGAGATATGGCTATGCAGCAATGACTACATGAGCAACAGTACTGTTAGAGAGATATCCATTATATCAGGTTACAATGTTTTTTTTGATAAACTTGTCTAATAATCTCTTGAATATCTAATTTTAGACTGCTGAACAGTTAAAATTACTGTATAATTTGATCAAATGCGAGTACTTCAATAGAATCACCTTGCGTTAATGAGTCCTAGCTAGACAGGTCAGTTTACTATTCAGCAACCTTTCCACATTAGTTATTGTAAGATATTATCAGCGCCTTCGTAGGACAATTATAAATATTGTTATTATTATTAAATACACCTTATCATGCAATTGTCAACTGATACGTAAAACTGGTCAATGAAACATAAAATAAGTAAAATAAAAATAATTTCCAAAATTCTGGTCACTGGTCTTACAAAGTGTGGAGTTTCTATTACGGTAGGAATCACCCTGACCCCCCCCCCCCCCTCTATTCACTGTGGATTTCTGCAAATATTAAATGGATGCATCAAGTAAGATGTTGAACCCACATGAATACATTTGTATTTTGCTTACAATTACTGCAAATATAATAAAAAAAAACTTTCATCTGGATTCTATAATATCAGATACCCAACCAGTTGCCAGACAATTTGGTACCAACCGTGCAACTGACTATACAATACGTGGTCAGCATGACTGACATGATTTCTTCACTGTATTGTCTCTAGCAGAAGTGGCTGTACAATGAAATTGTCATATCTTTAGTGGATATTGCAAAAAAGAATTGAATTGTCTTTCATCCGCCCATACCTTGACAATTTTCATGTGCACTTCTAATAGAGATAATACTGTAACTTTGATAACCCAGCCAATACATGTGCCTACCGTTTGTGCTTCAAAAAACGCAGTGCAAGATATAGGGTAAAGCACAATTGTGAAGCTAACTCAAGTCACATCAGTGTCAATGCTTAAGACACCATGGTTACGCTAGTAGGTCTTTTAACTGCCGATAAGCACTGTTTACAGGATAGGCACGCATTGCTTAGGTGTTCGTCTTCTGGCTGGCTGATGGTTGGCTGGCTGGCTGGCTGGCTGATGGTTGGTTCCTAGTTAGGTTGGCTATTTTATAGACTATGTTTATAAGATTGTATTGTACAGTGTTCAAAAGTCATGTTAACATCGACATCCTTCATTACTTGGTTGTTGGTCTGTGTTAAGTGGATTAGGTCTACCACCTGTTGATGGTTTATGTTGAACACCCGACTCGGCAGCATTTAAATCCAAACTACAAATAAATATACAATTCGCTCGATTAGAAATCCAAGCTTCCATCAAACCAGCCAATGTAATCATGGGCACAGCGGGATGCATTGATTTTGGGGACACAGTGAGCGTATATCACAAAATTAAATAATTGATATGGAGAGTTTTTTAGTAAGATAAGTCTGCAATGCACACCAAATTGTTTTCTGTACCAGTCCTTCCGAATTTATGACTATTTTGCAGGTTAGAACTGCATCAAAGCCTATTTGAAACATTGTACTTTTTGATTAGTTGTTTTTAGTGTGCATCCGAATAAGAATTGAAACAGCAATGCATGATGGGAATGATTGTAGTGATGATGATAGCTGGGATAGCTCATGAGTGCTGTAAATTTTCAGTTTTTGATTTTTGGTCAGTTATTCAAAATATGATGAGCTCTCAACAAAATACTGCAGAAATAAAACTTTTAAAAACTAAACAGCCATTAATCAGCTATCTTTGATCAGATTGTGAAACAAAATAAAATGACAGCATTTGTGCCCATTCTGTAATGAATTCACCAGGTGGTTCGAAGTCATGACAAGGAATGCAGGCCAAATTTGTGATAGTCATAGAGCAGAGCACCACCACTGGCTAAAGTGGTGGATTACTTTGTTTTTATCCCTACCACTTAAAACCCCTTCTGGGTTTAAAATTTCATGAATGAAATGAAACACGATGAAAATTCTTGTATTTGTAAACAAAGCTTTGAGAGAACACTGGATTACCGGTAACATTAATCTACATCCATGAAGGTGTTCAGATAGCCAGGTATATAGCATCTGAGAACAATGCATTGACATTACTGCAGGTGTATAAATGCATGATGACAGGCAGTTTTGTGATGATCTGATTATCAAAACATACTGTGCCTTATCTTTGAGTCAGGGTTGAATCAAATAAGAAAGAGAAATGGAGACAGACAACTGTGAACTCACCTTCCATCTTGAATATTTTGGTAAATTTTTCTAGCAGTTTCCAAAAAAGCATCTTCCACATTATCACCACTAAAAAAAAAAAAAAAAATTGCAAAATGTAAGACAGGTTATGATCACAGAAATAGCACATGAATTTCACTGTGGCTGTGAATTTGTTTTGTACACCTAATCAGCAATATTATCAGTTAATAGGCTGACAATACAGCTGTATTGCAAGATGTGTTGCTTCAAGAAGCCAGTAAATTGTTATCACATTTGGAGGCAACAATGCTTGCAACCAGGGATTTTTTTAAACAACAGGGGTGCAGCGACCTCATGCCATGGCCATGCGCCCCTTATCCTGGGGAGCAGATCCTCTGGCAACCATAAAATTTTGATTGACCAGGGATCACATGTGGCCACAATCTTCAACTGTGACCTGTCTGATAGTAATTTTGGCCCCAAGGAAGCCATAAAATGCTCCATTTTAACTTATATTATTAAAAACTCCACATCCTGGTAGGGAGAACTCTATCTCCCCCACTTGGTGGCGTCGCTGAATTGCAGTGCTCCCTCTTGCAGTTTTTTTCTAGAAAAACCCCTGCTTGCAACACATCAGTATTGATAACCAATTCACTGACTCATTTCTGTTTTGTTGTATTGAAGAAATTTATGGCCACAGTAGTGAACCACCACCAAAGAACAAATGAACATTTTTGACATTTCAAACATTACCTAGATATATCTGTATAGAAGCCAGGTTTGAATAAACAACATATTAACACATATTCCACAAGCAGTATAATTGTTTGACAGTTCACGTGAACATATCATATCACATTTGTCTGCATGAACAAATCACACGCTCTGAAAACACATTAAAATTTGTGACATGCAAGTATTAAGTCTCCTTACGTTTTTGCACTGGCTTCTAAAAACATTAGACCATTTTCATCTGCAAATTGTTTAGCTTCTTCATATGTAACATCTCTCTGTGCTTCTAAATCTGATTTATTGCCGATCAAAAATATAACCTGACAAAGGAAAAATGGAATTGTCAATCAACACTAATTAAATTAAACTGAGTGAACATGAATTTTGAGGCAATATAAAAACTATGTATACATATTCTCAGGGCGGACATTCAAGCATTTTCACCACATAGCAACCATAACGGTGAAAACAAAGGCCGAAAACTCTCAGAAAATGGTACTTTGGGATAGTTGTTGTTGAGACTCCCCTGAACAGTGTAACAAGATTACCCCTGCGTGTGTAAAGCATATAAATTTGATTGTTCAGAATTACATCAAAGTTGAGTTCCTGTTCCGTGCACAGAGCCCATAGAAATACGTGGTACAGTGGTGCGCGTCTTAGCAACGTGGAACATCTTGTGACGTAGCTCCGCCCCGAGAATACGTATAAAATACTTATTTTTGACATGCTACTTAAAAACTATTCACATGAGAAAAAGAAGGTCCTGGTATTCTGTTAACATACTGGCCTTGACCGTGGATGATATGAAGAATTATAACGAAAGTGACTTTAAAATATAAATGCCATTTGCAAAAGCAAAGACCATTATCAAAGATTCAATATTATCCTCGATGAAAATAAAGCTTAAAGCATATACAGTTGCCACACAGCACATGTTCAAATTTTGTGTAAATAACCAATGTATTTAAACAAATTGCATAAGCTGCATATGACCCATATCAAAAATGACATGTGTGCATTATGTCAAGAAAACAATTATATCTATCAACAACAATCATGTGTTCATCACTTGCCAAAAAAAAAATCAATACCTGACTGAAAATATTTGGAAATGTTGCTTTATCAGATCATTCCTATTGGTTCATATGTGCTAAGCAACAAGTGCAAATAGGAAAACCAACAAATATTTTCAGTAATTCAAGCCACTCAATGTTTTAGACCCCAATCAAGCTTTCGGAGTTCCTTTAGAGCACAACTCTAAAGTATGACTGGATTCTGATTAGTTTACAGAGTAAACAACAACATTTTAAGACCTGAAATAGTAATGGTTGATAATTTGAGATCATTTGCATGGACTCCATTGCCTGAAGAAACCAAAGTAACTTTTCACTGCTAATAAATCCCGCATTTATCTTCCATAAAAGCAATTTACATCAGATGATACTCACTGTATTAGGATTGGTTAGATTTCTTGCATCTGTTAACCAGCTACTTAAATGATTATATGTACTTCTTCTTGTAATGTCATAGACCATCAATGCACCAGCAGCACCTCGATAGTAACTCCGTGTAACAGCCCTAGAAATTACAAACTTGTATTTAATAATTTGTGCTTGCAACTGTGTTTTCACGGCATTGACTAGCATCAAAAACATCTGACAACAGTATTCCCTCTGAATTCTTTTTTTAGAAAATGTTTTCAAGGAGGAGCCCAAATTAATCTGAAAATATGCCTATTTTTTTTTTATAATTTCAAGCATTTTGTATTCAAATACACATGATTCATGGTGCATTTACAGCAAGTCTCAGAAATATTGGGGCAGCCAATTTGCAAACTCGCTAGCGAATTGGCTAACTGCTTTGGTTTTGACTAAATGGTTGGCTTTTGAATCTCGCAGGCGCAGTCTTGTGAACCCAGGTAGTAACGGTCGTCATACTTTAGAAGCTAGTCAGCGACGGTCTTACAGTTGGATGGCAATTTCGCTTTCAAATATACCAGGGAAAGTGTTCTTCGTGTAATGAAGTGATGTCGAATCATGTTCGTTTGGATGTGAAAGTATGTTTTCTCTCTGATTTATAGAAACCTGTTTCTCAACTTGTCTCTTTATTTAGTTTCAATCCATGTTCAAGATGGCTACCCCCATATATATAGTAAATATCGCTGGAATAATCGCTTATCATATTATTACTCAGACTATTCTCAGACTCACCAGGAAAACTACTTATACATTATTATGCCTCGCAAAGCAAACGATTCAGGGGAATCCAAACATGTACCTGGCTACGTACGTAAAAGCATTATATGTCCCCTATTTAAATGCAATATAGGCTCACCCAGAGTGTACGCGACCACGAGTCGGCGCCAGCGAGATTCGAAAGCCAACTGTTTAGTCAAAACCCAAGCAGTTAGCCAATTCGCTAGCAAGTTTGCAAATTGGCTGCCCTAATACTTCCGAGACTTGCTGTAATGGAAAAGAATAATATTTTTTGATGCCAAATTTGCATAACATCGCCTGCTGAAAGCCTTGTTCTTGCAAAGTGACAACTCACCTAAACCTTTCTTGTCCAGCAGTATCCCATATTTGAAGTTTAATTTTTTGTCCTGAGACTTCTATGATTCTAGTTCCAAATTCTACTCCAATTGTGTGTGGACAATCTGCCATAACTGTAAATAAAAATAATTGATGTGAACACAGTGATTAAAATTTTGTTTTGAAAGATGATTTTTCAAAGAAAATGGACTGAAATAGAAATGGTACTTGTGTGTTTCACAGAGTAAAATATAACCGTGACATAGTTTTTCAACTCTCAAAATAGCTGCAAAACATACTAAATATTACGCCATAGCCAAAGATAATTTGCATGCTGGTTATTCTTTCTTAAGCAGAATAGTGTGTAAATTTTCAGAGGCTTGTACGAGTTAGTTGAAAGATGATGGAAATTTTTACGTTGCGAGTTGGAAACTGTTATGTTCGGTACACTGCGTTCGAGACGTTCAAAATCTGTCCTACCTTCCGGTTTGTTGACCCCAGGTCCGGCGATATGCGCAAGCGCACAAATGATGAATGCGCAAACGCTATCAATTCGGTAACCCTCAATTAGACCACCTCAATTTGATTACTTTCCAGCAGAAATGCACCCCCCTTGCAGGAAATAACCATATTTAGATGATCTATCAATTCACTTTGATGTTCACTCTTATTGACAGAAATAAAACTAGTCACTAGTCTCTCTGTGTTTTGTTCCTATATATTTCACAATTTTACTGTTTAATAAAATTAAATTAAATTCTACAATCATGTAATCATAGATGAAAACTCAAAAAAAATAATAATTTGTTCATGTTTAAATAAATGGGAGGATTAAAGTACTGCACAGAATGTTGACAATGGTTTGTTGTCATAGCGACTGACAGCTTTCTCTTTCATACATTTAATCCTTTTGCATATGAACCATAATGCATTTTCTCACCCATATAGTATACCTGATTTATCACATTTTTCACTACTTACATTTTTTTTCTGTAAACTGATGCAGGAGACATGATTTCCCAACTCCCATATCACCAATGATAATGTACTTAAAAATATAAGAATAATTGTATGGTCCTGCCGCCATGATGAAAACTGATTAATTTCCTGAAAAATAAAAAAAAATAATAAGGTATGAAGGTAACATGACATTAACTACACCCTAATCTACATGTTTAGTCCACAGTTGTGGTCCGTCAAAAAATGTTGGAAACTGTGAAATACTAATGTGATGATAAAGCCAGGAATTGATATACCAACTAAAAAAGAAAAAGCAAACTTTGTGGCTAGCTGTGCATAGACATGCTTTCAAAACTAATAGTAATAGTGGGTATTAATCAGGTGTTTTCTATGGCATGTATGGTTTCAAAATCTCTTGACATGCTGGTTTTTTTTTTACAATAATACTCATATAAGTGCAAGGATGTGTGACCTTAGGTCATGTGTATGTGACCCATGTAAAATGTTCAGTGCTACAATATGTAGTGATGTTCCCTGATTATAAAAATATGTCTTGGGCAAAATTAATGCAGTTAACAGTAATATTTTTATAGTTTAATTGTTCTATAATAAATAAAATTAACACATTGACACTATGCTTCACCGACATTTACAATATCTGCTTTTCAAATTCTAAAAAGCCAAACAAATCCAAGATCATTAATGAAATAGGACAACTAAAGACGTCCTACCACGCCCCCTATATTTACACAGATGACGTCATTTAGGACGGAACATCAGGAAATAACTAACAATTAGATAATTTTGAGAAACAGTATTTCGCAATAACCAAGTTGTATCGAACAGGTAAACTGCGTCGTGGTAGAATTTACTTCAATAAAATATGAGCGAAATTGTTGATATTGGAACGCCTTAAAATCGACTGATCGCTCAGTCTCGCCACACCGGCATTTTAATCGTGCAACGCACTCACAACTATAATGGCTTTTTTTATGCGATTACCACTGGGTAATGAAATAACAAAATGAAATGAAAAACACACATGCGGTGTTTTCGAAGTGTCATCCATTAACGCAGATCACAGACGCATAAAACAACAATAACATTTTTGATCGTCATCACATGACACTGACATCTTACGGCGAACGAATGAGGGTCACTCAATGAATGCATTAGCGGAAATCGTGCACTTATTTACAAACGAAGATAATACAGCCAATTCAGTTTATCTTTTC